ACCCATTTTTCTTGCAGTAAGCAGATTAAGGGCTATTTATAGTTCTGTCTCGCACACGCACACAGATACACACTCTGCTGCACCTCACCTGCAATTGGCTCAATTAAGCTAATGAGATCGCCCACAAACGAGAGTGTTGTTGGCCAGAATGGTAGACCCAGACACACCAGATCTCTGCCCAGAAAGTGGTTGCAGGGCGGAGAGAGGAAGCTGCACCCAGCCCTTTCCCAGCAGATACTGTCCTCAATTCTGCAGGAGTGGGTCACTCATCTCGAACCTCACTTAATCTTGAAGAAGACCAAGACAAGATAGAAGCTGTATTGTCGAATCACTGGGTTGTTTCAGGCTGTATGGCCAAGTTCTAGAAGCATTATCTCCTGACGTTTCTCCTGCATCTGTGGCAGGCATCCTTCGATATTGTGAGGTCTGTTGGAAACTAGGAAAATTGGGTTTATATATCTGTGGAAGGTCCAGGGTTTCCAACAGACCTCACAACCTCGGAGGATGCGTGCCACAGATGCAGGTGAAATGTCAGGAGAGAATGCTTCTAGAACTTGGCCACACAGTCCAAAAAACCTACAACCCAAGATAGAAGCTGTTCAAACTAAGGTGCAATTCAGATGTTAGAATCCTGCCTAAAGGCCCCAATCCAAGGAGAGACTTGGTAGCCAGTGTCTTCAGTCCACCCATCTTCATAGGGAAGGATGGAGAGAGTATGTCTTCTTACTAGTTTGTTGGACATCAACATCCCAGTGGGGCTTCTTGCACAACCTGACTTAAAACCTGCTGAACTTGCTGATCTAAAGGTCGGCCATTTGAAGCCAGGGAGCAGGGTGAGTGCCCACTGTTATCCCCAGCTTCTGCCAACCTAGCAGTTAGAAAACATGCAAATTTGGAATCAATAGGTACTGCTCTAATAAGAACGTAATAGTGCTCCATGAAGTCATGCTGGGCACATAATCTTGGAGGCGTCTATGGACAACGCCGGTTCTTTGGCTTAGAAATGGAGATGAGCACCACCCACCAGTCAGATACGACTAGACTTAATGCCAAGGGGAAACTACCTATTCTATGCCTCTTTTGAGTTCAGGCACAAAAGGAGTTTTACTCTCCTCAAGGATCACAAACTTGGAAGAGGAGGGTTTTGTGAACGAAAATCTCAACCAATGCCATTCTACACAGAACTGGAGTCCCATCAGCTCCGTTGGATAGGATGCCGTGAGGATGAATGGGAAGGGAAACAAGCTGTGTAAGGAGAGTTGTCACTTTACTAAGAGAGAAGCACAAATTTGGTTCACTGTATAATTGTCAGTTTAACAGAGATGGGAAAAGTATGGCCTCCAGAGCCATTTTTGGGGATCTAGGGGTGGCAAATGCCTCCAAATAGTTTCTAGAGTTTGTGTGGGGCATTTCCCTAGGCATTTGAGACTCTAAAGGTAAAGATAAAGCTTTTCCCTTGACATTAAGTCTAGTCATGTCCAGCTCTGGGAGATGGTGCTCATCTCCATTTCTAAGCCAAAGAGCTGGCATTGTCCATAGATGCCTCCAAGGTCATGTGGCTGGCATGACTGCATGGAGCACCATTACCTTCCTGCTGGAGCGGTAGCTATTGCTCTACTCACATTTGCATGTTTTTGAACTGCTGGGTTGGCAGAAGCTGGGGCTAACACTGGGAGCTCACCCCATTCCCTGGATTCAAACTGCCAACCTTTCAGTCAGCAAGTTCGGCTGCTCAGCAGTTTAACCTGCTGTGCCACCGGAGGTCCCTACAGAAGGTCTTATTTCAAAACACAACAACAATCCTTAAAATGGCTTGGGTTGCATTACAAAAAATAGCAAAAATACAAAGAATAGCAATAACCTTTCCCATACAGATGATAAGGGGCCTTTGAGGACCAAAAATGATGTTTATGTGCGCAGAGGATACATCGCTTTCCAATGTCGCCTGGAGAGCTAATGTAAGCCCCCCACCCTTCCACAGTTGCCCACTCAAATTTAAAACCTCTCTTTCCAGTCCAGTGGAAAAATATTTTTTCATACTCATGGGTTGTGGTCTCCTCTGACCCACACAACATCCATTACCCTCCCTTCATTTCTGATGCTTACGTGATGTTCCCAGGTCTCTGACAGATCTGTCAGAGACTGAAGCACTCAAACTGTGCACAACCAAGCACGTCACAGACACCAGAAGTGTGTTAAATGGTTGCCACCATGAGCTCAGAGCAGAAAACCAGTGACCAAACATTTAGGAGGGATTTAGGTGAAGAGGGCATCAAAGTCTGCAAAGGAGAGCACTGCCACACACCCCTGCTGTGAAATCTCACCTTCCCTGTTTCAGGAACCCCTTCACCCTAACAGTAAAACAAATTCACATTCTTGGGATCCCATGGACACATTCTCTTGCCCCTGCCAAACATCCCTGGGTTGAAAACGGTAACAACTGCTGACACCTCTCCCAGAAAGACGGAACATCGTAACGTGATTTCGCACCAGAATCAGAGAGACAGCAACCCTTAAAATCACTGCATCATTTAATGTCCGCAGTACAATGATAGAGGAGACTTGAGTCTGGATGACATTGTTGGAAGACAACATGTGTGATAAAAAAGGAAGTAAACAGAGCCATGCAACCAAAAAAATCACTGTAAAAATACCAGTACAATATATACAAACCCCTTGTCAATATTTACATTTTATAGCATTTTTTATAAAGCTCTGGCAGACTGGTTTCATCAGCAAAGGTGTTTAGTTTTTGCTATTCATGGGCTTCTGAGGGGATTTTATTTTATATTTTTTACAAAATACCCGATTTATTATACAAGTTTCACTGAGCATCTATACCTAAGCAAGCTCAAAAAGCATCTCTCCAGTTAGTTACACTCACAAACTTTATACCAGTTTATGAGTCATAGCTTCACCAAAGAGCGCTGGGAACAATAGTTTTGCGAGGCTTCAGGGAATTCTGTTCTAGATTTTCGTCCTCTTGATAGAACTACAATACCCAGATATCAATGTAAGTGCAAGCAGAGCTGTAACAGCGGAAGCCTACAAACTGTTTGTAGACTGGCAGCTGGCCATTTTGGTTTTCCATGAAGGAAAACAGATTTCAGTTTGTAGCTAGTGGTAGTTGTAGTTCCTTTCGGTCCTTAAAACAGTTTTTTGCCCTATACTGTGGGTTTAACACTCCGGAGGCTAGAAAGAAACTACATTTAAATTCAATTAACATGCCTGAGGCATGGAAGTCTTTTGCCCCCTTGTTTTTAAAGCCAAAACTACAAGGAGTAAGCAGCAATAACTGTGCTCATCTTCACCAGATCCTCATTCCTATCTCCCTGACCTCATCACCAAGTCATGCATTCTTCCGAAAGCTGTTTTCGGATTCTACATACCTTTCCCTAGTGAGGCAAAGCAGATGAATTCCCCCAACTTCTAAGAGAGCTGACACAAAGCAGCTCCTGGAGAAGTCCTCACCTCATACTACCCCTAAAGACTATTATAGATTGAAAGCTATTAAGAGTAGTGTCTACTCTTTGGGGCAGGCCAGCCTGTTCCAGATCTTGAGGAAGGAGGCTGAACTCTACTGCCACATGCACTTCCTTCAAGAACCATGTGGTTTCCAAAACTTAGCACCCTGTCCTTCATCCCCTAAGTTGACACAATCGTCAGTTTCCTTGTGCTGAAGTGGGCTAAGTTTCTTGGTTTTAGGAAGCTGGGGCAGCCCATGATTTCCCACTCTTTAAAATAAAGAGTACACTTTTTCAAATGATTGTTAATACCCTTGTGAAGACCGCCCCCCCCCCCTTCCCAAACACCATCTCCTCAAGAGGAGCTGGGTGAATGCACCCATTTGTCTGGAGATTCCTGAAAACACAAGTAAACATTAGCCCTTTTCAAGGTGCGAGAAGGGCCACACTGACAGGCAATAGGGTTTCCTTGCTATGAAGTTAAAAATGTGCTTTCAACACAATAGGATGCCACTTTTAAAGAYAGTAGTCAAGGGCCAAAATTATATACCCTGAGAGACTTTGGGGGGGGGGGGTTGCTACTGAGGTGGCAAAGGTAGGTTGCAACCTTGTCAAACAGTCAGGTACTGCATAAGACTTGGTGAGTAGTCTGTAACACATACACAGCYCCTAAARGACTCYTTCAAGGGGMRGYAKGGAGTCTCYARTGCTTGTTTCTGGCCTCTAGGAAGTTTATGACTGCTACCAAAAGGATTGTTCACCACTAGCAACAGTTCCACTTTGACCCTACACTAGACCCTGGATGTGCTGGGCTGACACACCTGACATACCCCGTCCCGCTAGCATAAAAGGATCTGTGGAACTGCCTGCTTTTTATTGAGCATCTCCAAGCAGTTGCTATAAAGGTGGCAAAGGTAGGCTGCAACCTTGCCAAACAGTCAGGTTCTGCATAAGACTTGGTGAGTAGTCTGTAACACATACACAGCCCCTAAAAGACTCTTTCAAGGGGCAGTATGGAGTCTCTAGTGCTTGTTTCTGGCCTCTAGGCAGTTTTTGACAGCTACCAAAAGGATTGTTCACCACTAGCAACAGTTCTGCTTTGACCCTACACTAGACCCTGGATGCTCCGGGCTGACACACCTGACGTGCCTCGTTCTGCTACCATAAAAGGATCTGTGGAACTGCTTGCTTTTTATTGGGCATAACCATCTGCAAGCAGCACGTGGGCATTGGTAATTTCTGTCTTTTTAGAGGAAGAGTGGAAAAGACATGGAAGCAAAATCTGAGGGACATTAATAATTTAATTTGAATACTACAAACTTGGTTTTGGTAGAACGCATCAGTGTTCTTTACCCCCCACCCCACCCCGAGAGGCCAACCACCTGCCAGGTGTAGCACCCTGTTCTAGCCCAGCTGGATCTTGTCACAATCCAGAAACTTCAAGAAATGGCAGAAAAACAGGTATTTAAAACAAAATACAATTACAAAAATAATCCAACATGGTTACTTCTCCATGGTAATTTTCACTGCACTAGATTTGTTGTTGCTTTTTTCTTTTTTTAAAAAAAGGCTATGATACACATATTTTGTTACAGTTTAAGAAATGAAGATACATATATTCTACAGATCAGTATGGCTGACAGCTTCATCCCTTTGAACTACAGGTAGAAACAGTCTTTTCTTTTCCCCTCACCAGTTTCTCCATCATCTTCACAGGAAAGACCTGGCAAGAAGAAGCAGGTGGGGTTCAAACATGCCCTCTGTGCAAAGAAAAGGCTAAAGGGACCAATGGGATGAGCTGGCCCAATTTTTCAAAGAAGATTCAAAGACACTGAATGATTTCCGGCGGAGTGCCAAAAAAAAAAAAAGAAAGAACTCCACGGAGGAACTCTTGGGGCATCACACATTGCTGGCTAGCACTACTCGCGATACTCTGATTACATGTTTACAATGAAGCCGAGAGGTTACACGCTGCAGGGCTGAGCGAAACCCAGACAATCTATATATACAAGGGATATTTTTGAAGGGGAGCATTAATGGAATAAAAAACAGTTACGAACACTGTGGCTTCTCTTGGACACAAGGCTGCATGTGCAAGTCTTTTAATACTACTGGCAGAACGGGGAGGCGGTTGGGTCAAAGCCTTTAAAAACGTCCTTTAAGGAGCCTGCGTCCTGCACCTCGGCACCCTCTTGGGCAGGGCTGTTCCCCGCAAAGGGGCTGCCCGACCCAGACTTGGAGGCCTGCTTCACCATGCCATAGATGGGTGGAACAGGGAGGTTGTGGACACCAGGCTGTGAGGCAGCTTCTGAGGCAGTTGCGGTGGTCGAGGTGGCACCAGCAGTGGAGGAAGCTGTCGCAGGCTTGGGTCGTGGCCGATTGTAGCTATTGTAGCGGTCAGTGGCAGGTTCTGCACTAGGCCATTCCGCCTCCAACTGATCCAGGGCCGACCGACGGATAAACAGGGGCTCCTTCCCTTTGCTGCCTTTACTGCTGTTATCGGGTCCCTTGGCAGCTGAGCCCCCCTCTCCAGAGGACTCAGCAGCCTTGCTTGCCGAGCCAGGAGTCCGGGGGTCGTAGAGGCTGATCCCACTGAGGACACTGCTTTGGCCAGTGCTCCTGCTGAGCCCTCCGGCAGTCAGTAGGCGGGGGTCATAAGGAGCGATGCTAGGTGTTGTTTCAGAATCGGAAACAGGAGCAACTGCCGGGGCGCTGGCTTCAGAGGGCTTTGAGGACCCTGGCAACGCCTGCTCAGATGCTTTGAGGAGCCTGGGGTCAGAGGGGGCCTTCCGTGTCCGGGGATCGCTTGGCTTGTCGCTCTGGCCAGGACTGCCCCCTGCTGCGTTGACTGTCTTCAGTATCCTGGAGAGCAGCTCAAAGTCTGGGAGGCTGGAGCTGGCTGAAGGCTCCACTGGAGCCGCTGCTGCTGCCGCCCCACGCTGCCTGGGATCAGAGAGGCTGGCACTCTGAGGCCGGTTTAAGCGAGGGTCAAGAGCAGGCAGAGACTGGAGAGGGGCAGGGACAGGGACAAAGTCCTGTTTGGGAACAGGCAGCGGGATGAGATCCTCAGGGCTCCATAGGACCATGCGGGCAAAATTGGGCATAATCAGGACCACATCTTTCTTGATGTGGCTGAACTGCTGTAACTGGCAGCGTGGGTCCCTGAGGGTATGATTGGGCAGTGGCTCCAAGGGGATTGTGACTGGCTTGTCCCTGAGGGCCCTTTCCCCTTCCTCTTCCTCCAGAATAGATTTCTGAACAGTAGAGCTGGGGCTGGAATGCAATGGGTCTGGTTTGGGGGCAGAGGGAGGAATGTGTCGGGCCAGTCTTGGGTCAGTGGGCCCTGCGTCTCCAGCCCCAGATGGAGCTGAGGGATCCAGGTTGCGCGAAAGCCTGGGATCACGCAGAAGGCGAGGGTCAGCCGGCCGGCCACTTCCCGCCTGCTGGCCCTTTTGGAGTCGAGGGTCACTCCTGCCTGAGGCTGGACCAGCATTCCCAGAGGCATCTTCATGGGGCTTGTTGGAACTTTGTTGCCGCAACGTCTTCAAGATGGAGCTGACACTGATGCTACCCTCGTCTTCATCACTGGAATACCAATTGCCAGTATCACCTGGAAAAACAATAGACATAACCATGAGCCCACGGTACCGATGCACCACGACCGCTACATCAAACAGTGGGCTGACAGAACAAGGAAGTCTTGAGAGAGTCTAATCACATAGGAGATATTTTCTGAAAATGAATAGTCTAATGCCCTCTCCAAAAACTTGAAGAGCAATTCACACTGAGACTGAGTTAATAAAAGAAAATATGATCAAATGGGCAGTGGACTTGGGCCACTCTATTCTGTTAAAAGAATGGGAAGTTATCTGGAAAAGAAAACTGAAATACTCAAAATTGACTAACATAACAGAGAATTGGCAAAAAATGTTCTTTCGTTGGCACTTAACTCCTCAACAACTGGCCAAATTCTACAAGGGTGTTAGTAATAGTTGCTGGAAATGCGGAGATCATATAGGTTCTTACAACCATGTTTGGTGGCAATGTAAAAGAGTAAAGACTTTCTGGAAAGAGATTCATACTCATGTACAAAAAATATTACAGATTAAATTTGATATGAAACCAGAGTATGATTTATTACACCTTTTAGATTTTGACCCAGGGAAAATTAAAGACAAGCTACTACACTATATGACAGCAGCTGCAAGAACTATTCTAGCAAGTATGTGGAAAACCAAAGAACTCTCATCCTTTGAATCCTGGATTCTTAAGCTAAGGGAACATATGGATATGGACAATCTGGCGAATATGTTGTATGACCAAAACAAAAAGAGGACGACTGATTGGCAACCACTGAGAAGATACCTTATGGAAAAGAAATCAATACAGATAGAGTAAAAAGGAAGGTGGCTGTAAAACATAAAGAGACTTTAAGAAGCAAGTATTTTCTTATATAACCCTGTGGACTAAATTGGAAGTTCATTACCTCATGGACCATCACCCTCGTTTTTTCTTTCTTTCAATGTTTAACATCTCTGTCTCCTCTTCCTCCCCACACTACCCTCTGGGGCACCTAATTTTACCACAAAAACTGGGAAAATGTATTGACTCAAGTATAAGCTGAGGGTGGGAAATGCAGCAGCTACTAGTACATTTCAAAATAAAAAAATATACCAATAAAATTACATTAATTGAGGCATCAAAGGCTTTCATGTTTTTGAATACTGACATAGAACTGTAATTGAAGATAGGACGGTCCAACTCTGATTAAACCATTATTCTAACCTTCGTCAATGTAAATGTGCTTTTAATAATATAATAATATAATAAAACTTTATTTATACCCCGCTACCATCTCCCCAAGGGACTCGGTGCGGCTTACATGAGGCCAAGCCCACAGTACATCAATAACAAGAACAATAACAAAAACAATCAATACAATACAATTAATATAAATCACATAAACAAAAAAACAATAACAGTAACATGCATGCATTTAAAAACCAATGCCCGGGCCAAATGTAATAATTTTTTTAATTTATTTTTTTAAAATTAATTTTTTTGTATCTTTCCAATAATAATAGAGTAAAATAATAAAGGTAATAAAAATAATAATAGAGTAAAATAATGGAAATGTAATAATAACAGTAATAATAGAGTAAAATAATAAATGAGATATTAATAAGTAGTAAAATAATAAATGTAATAAAAATAATAGAGGAAAATAATGAAAATGTAATAACAATAAAAGTAGAGTACAATAATACATGTAATAATAATAGAGTAAAACAATAAATGTAATAATAATAATTAATAGAGTAAAAAATAGATGTAATAAAAATAATAATAACAGTAAAATAATAAATAACTTTGACTCAAGTATAAGCCAAGGGGAGCTTCTTCACCCTTAAAAAAGGGTTGAAAAACTTGGATTATATTCAAGTATATACGCTACTTGCCTTCTTCATGGTCCCGTTCCTGTTTGCAACCATCGGTCTGCCGCCGAGCTCTTTCTTCCTCCTCTTGTTGCTTATGGTGGATGCGCATATACAGGGCCCTCTGGGTGGATGGGAGGAAGTCGGGGATGTTGGTGGGAGGTTTCTGCTGTCTTGAGCTACTCCCGCCTTCACCAAAGGAATCCGGCTCAATGGTGGGGTCAGGGAAGATATTCTCTCCTGGCAATTCATGCATTTCCTCATAGTTGCCATAACCTTCCCCTGTGAAAAAAAGAGACAGAAAAGAGACAGTAAGAAGGGAGAAACTGATGAGAGCTTCCATGAGCAAGAAGCCCCCCAGATCCAGCTGGTGCCAGCACACACAGCCATCTCGTCAAAACTGCCAGCACACCCAGCCAGATAGTTCTTCCTGGAAGAAATAGCATATATAATCTAAAGAAGGCACACGTTTACCATCTGCACTCACAACAGATACTTGCCTGTACTACCCATCATGCCAGGATCCATCTCCAAACCTTCTGAATGCTGGTAGAAGTTGTCATAGAAATCTGGTGCAGGTGGACCAGAAGGCATCTCCTCAGGACCAAAAGGCGGCACTGGGGGTCCAGGGCCCATTGGAGGGCCAGAGTTCATCCCTGGACCCATTGGCATGTCAGGACAAACGTCCGGGCACATGTCGGGAAGCATGTCTGGAAGAATGTCTGCAGGCATGTCTGAAGGAAACCGAGAGGGAGACATATCTGGATGCCTACAAGGAAGAAAAAAGTGCCACAAAATGTCAGAGAATCAACTCTGGGCTAGCATTATACAGCTTCTTTCTTTTTCATATAACTCCACCAGTGTTCACATTTGGGCATATTATGTATCCATGACAAGTTTGGTCCAGATCCATCATTGTCTGAATTCACAGTGCTCTCTGGATGTAGTTGAACTACAACTCCAAAACTCAAGGTCAATGCCCACCAAACACTTCCAATATTTTCTGTTGGTCATGGGAGTTCTTTATGCCAAATTTGGTTCAATTCCATCACTGGTGGAGTTCAAAGTGTTCTTAGATTGTAAGTGAACTATAAATCCCAGCAACTACAACTCACAAATGACAAAATCAATCCCCCACCACCACCTCACCTCAAATTTGGGTGTGTCGGATATTTGTGACAAATCTGGTCCAGATATTCACAGTACAATTTATAACAGTAACAAAATTACAGTTATGAAGTCACAACAAAATAATTTTATGGTTGGGGATCACAACATGAAGAACTGCATTAAGGGGTCACGTCATTAGGAAGGTGGAGAAAGACTGCTTTAAACAGTTCCTTACATTCTGTTTCCGCTTTCCTATTCCATTCCTTAAATATTATTTCTTTTTCTTTAATGTTATTTATTATTTTCCCTATATTTACCTATTTTTTTCCTAGTGTACTGTATTTCTAACAATCTTTGGATTTGAAGCGTTTCAAATCTCTCACCAAAATCTGTCCATGAGGGGACCGTAATACATACCTCACTCCCAGTTTCTCCGCCAACTGCCCTGTGGGTCTCACAACAATCTCAAACAGTGAGGGGATCTTCTTAAACATGTCCTGCTGTTGCTGCAGCTGCTGAGGTGAAAGCGGCTCAAGGGTTGGAGGTGGTATCTGTGGTGGCCCTGGGGGCGGAATAGGTGGCGGTGGGGGTGGAGGAGCAGGTGGGCCTCCGGGCATTGCCCGGCCATTGGGAGATGTTGGCGCTGGTGGTCCTGAGGGTCGAGGAGGAGTGGGCAGAAGTCCTACTCCAGGAGGTGGTTTGGGTAAAGGGTTGATGCCTTGTTTCTTGAGCTCCTCTACTTCCTTCTCATCTTCTGCTCCTGCTTCAGCATCATCTGCCAACATCTGAACAACCAAAAGTAAAATATATGCAGTGAGAGAGGGGCAGACAGCATTTCAACAGTGACCAATGCCTCCTACTCCTCTTCCTCACACTTTGCATAGATCCTGGAGCATTTATGTGCTCCAAGGGCCATGCTAGCCAAGAGCAGCCTCTGCCAGGGGCAAAGCCAACTTTGGTGGTGAAAGCAGCAGCACGCTCATTCCCTTTACCTTATCCAGCAGCTCTCGTGTCTCATCTGTAAGTGGGTCATGGGAAAACATGCAGTCATCACCATTGATGCAATTTCCAGTTGTATGGAACAGCTTACAAGGGAAATCCCGTGCCAGGCATTAAGGAAAATAAATTATGCCAAGAACCAAAAGGATAAAAAAACACAAAGGCAACTTCCTTTTGGGAATACATCCTTGAGCCCTCACTGTGCATGGCCTGCTCAGGGATATCTTTCGATAAATTCTGTAAATAATAATAGTAAGTAATAAGAGACAGATCCTAAACCCTTTCTTGCAATTAATGGCTGTTAAGCACACCAAGGTCACCCTTATTGATATCTCTGCAGTTAGTTGTACTGCTCCAAATTTTTTAGATGAAAATTGGCTATCTGGTTTCTCCAAGTGAAGAAAGACACACTGAGAGCACAGATTTGGCTCCCCATGCCTTCCCCATTACTCATCCTGTACAAATGAGGAAGTTAAGAATCATGCTCTTTTTATTATTAAAAAAATATTCCCTAAAAAAGTAAATGTCTATTTTTGCAATTTCTCCAGGTAGCTGTGGAGGGGGTCCCAATTTGTTCTTTTTAACGTATTATCCATATTTTTTTCAACAAAAAAGTCAATTCATCCATGTCCATAATTTCCCTAATTTTTCCTATCCACTCTTCCATAGGTGGATTTAATTCTTGCTTCCATTCTCTTGCAAAGACAATTCTGGCGGCAGTTGTGATAAATGTAAAAAGCTTATCTTCTTGTTCATTTAGTTGTAGGTCTAAATCTGTATACCCAAGTAAATAATACTCCGGTTTTTTTGTGAACTTTATTTTTAAAATCTTCTGTACTTCTTTGTGTATTTCTGTCCAAAACTTGGATGCTACTTTACATGTTCACCACATATGGAAAAAGGATTCAAGTTGCTCATGGCATTTCCAACACTTATCTGAATACATTAACCAAGAAGATGGAATGGAAGTCAATTTTCTTTTTTATCTTTTTCTTTTTGTACCTTTTTGTTTTTTTCATATTTTTTTTCATTTTTCACTTTTTTCCCTTATATACTTCTATCTTTTTCTCTCTTTCTATATTGTTATTGTTCTCACTCTTTCATTGTATTATGGAAAATCTAATAACATTCTTTAAAAAAAAAAAAAAGAATCATGCCCTGTAAAGAAGGGACCAGAAAGGATATCATGCATGTAAGGACAATTCTCAGCTCTGGCACAGTAACCAGTGATGTAGAATTTACACAATTCCCGCTTCTTTGGTAGCTCAATATCATGGCTGAAATTGCAGTGTTCCCCCTGTGGAGAAATGCAGAAAGGATGACTTAGTTAGACTACAGAACAATGTCCAAGGAACGTTTTTTAAAGGTTTTAGTTGGTAACAGTTCCACACCTGAACACAAAGAACAGTTCTGGGGCTCATTCCTATGGGGTAGGAACATCTCTTTCCTTCCAATTTTCTGATGAGACAACAATATCCCTTCCCCACCTAAAGGAGTGGTTGCTTTGGAAATTATTGCTCCCACTGGAGTATCTCACAGTGCCGCCCTGTTCTTAGGCTATGCCTCCCAAGAGCTGAGGATAGGTTCCTTACTAAGGTTCCTCATATTAGTACTAATGCAACTGTGACACTTATGGTACACAACTGGAACAAGGTGGACAGAGCTGAAGGTATAGCAGGAGAGAGGAAGGGCTTAGTTGGAACCATAAACTCATTCACAAGATTGGACCTGCTCCAGTGTAATGTTATGCCTGCAAGTGATGTAGTATCAATTAAAACACTTCCACTGAAGTTAATGGGTGAATGAAGTAACAGGCTCTATGTCATTCCTACATAAGATTACAAAACGAAGGCAGGAAGGACATGGTAAGGTCTTCATTGTTTGTGATATTGATTAGTTCAATATTTTAGTGATAAATTCAACTCTACTGAAATATGCTCCTAGTCCTTAACTGCATTTGCACAATGTCTGTTTCCATTAACACAACTTATTAAATTACCAAATTTACAAATTCTGCTTAATTTTTTTACACTTTTATACTAAAATATAGTACAAAAGTGTAGGTCAGTGGTTCTCAACCTGTGGGTCCCCAGGTATTTTAGCCTACAATTCCTAGAAATCCCAGCCAATTTACCAGCTGTTAGGATTTCTGGGAGTTGAAGGCCAAAATGTCTGGGAACCCACAGGTTGAAAACCACTGCTTTAGGTGTCAAAGAAAAAAAAAATGAATTATAGAATAGGGGACAACCACTGTTTTATTTGTACAAATCTAAGAATTTTTATATTTTGTAATTTCATAAATAAGACAAACAATATAAGTATATATGCTAGATTAAGCACAAATTATTTTATGTTGCTGAAGCAGAAACGTTTTAATCTGATACATAAATAAGTATTGTACAGCTTTTGCTTTTTCCTAAAATATCAGTATCAAAGTTCTAGCAATTTTAAATACCTAGCCACAGGACGTAACAATATCACATGCAAATTGTACTGAACACGTACCCAGGTACATCTTCCCTCCACAAAATATTTGCAGATCACTTTTCCTTTCTTATCTGATTGGTGAGATTTATCATGGTCGTTCCGCCTGTAATTCCCACCACCATCCTAAGAGAATCACAACATTTGTGTTATTTATGTATTACTTTTCAATCAAACCTTCCCAAAGCAGTTTACAAAACTGAAAAAAAACACCAATCTATTAAAAACAAAACAGCAAAAGGTGGAGGCCATGGAAATAGCAAAAGGAAGCCAAGTGAGCACTGACAACAGAAAATGCTGAGCAGTCCTTGAAGGTGAACAGCTCTGCACCCAGCTTCCTGTGACCTGCCTTCCAAAGCTGGGGAGATCAGTAAGAAACACCCCATCTGCCTTATCTAAGACAGCCAAGAGATCCACTGAAGGGCCTCCAAAGCAGTCAGGCATATTCACATGGGACAAATTGGTTATTTATTATTTCACTACTTAGCAATGTCAGTTAAAGCCAGCACATTTGAACTGAATCCAGAAATGGTCTGGGAGCCCATACAATTATTTTACGACTGGTGAGATGTGATCCCTCTGACTGGTCAGTGACAAGCTTCTGTATACTGTGTTGAGTGAAGTCTCTGAATTGTCGTTATATTGGCTCCAGTAAATGTATAATATGTTACCAAAAGTCTTAATAATTATGACCACCCTCCTTCTAGGAAAGGTTGCAGCTGACATATTGGCACAAACAACAGTGAAAGACACGAGCAACAAGCGAAAGACACTTAATCCCACTTAAATTTTCAAAGATACAGTCAGCACCTTAGAATGCAAATGTGATCCTTCGAGGATAATGTGCTGAGAAAGGCATGCAAGACAAAAGGAGACTTGTTAAGGGGATCTGGCACTCACCCCCATATCTTCATCGTAGTAGTCATCATCATCATTCATTCCTTTGCCCATGCCTCTGCCACGGTGGCCTCTTCCACGGCCCATTCCTTTGCCTCCTCGCCCTCTTGAACGACCTCGGCCACGACCCATGCCTAAAAGTACATTTTTGTCAGAAAGATTTAATGGCATCAAACCTTTTTCAATTGACACAGATTACTAAATTCCTGGGTCCAACAAAGGCTGAGCATATAGACCCAGAAGCAGACCATGTTCCTGAGGTATTTATTTATTTACAGTATTTGTATATTGCTTTTCTCACCCCTAGGGGGACTCAAAGGTACTCCTCAACCCTTCCTTTGGCTTGCCTGTCAGTGGCTCTTCTGGATGATAAGACTCTTGTAGATCTCAAACCCACATACCTCTGCCTCGGCCTTCCTTGCTTCTGCGATACTGGTTCAGTTCTTTGGAATAGTCATCATATTCTTCCTCACCCATGGGCTCTTCTCCTTCACAGTACTGTTAGCCAAAAAAAAGAGGAAAGGCTGCTCAGCACTGGGAAATCATAATTGGGAGCTGGCCAGCTTCAAGGGGCTCGTGTTCTTCAAACCCACCTCCATTTCCTCGTCAAACATTTCCTCATCATCGTCATCGGGGTGATCTCTCCCCCTGCCACGGCTGCCCCTCCCCATGCCTCGGCCTCGCATTCCTCCTCTTCCACGTCCGCGGTAACCTCGACCTCGGCCACGACTACCTATTAGAGCAAACAATACTGATCAGACTCCAGTGCACAACTAAATATTGTGGACAATATTCTGATAAGCTTCACTGTTATGCAAGAAAAAGCACAAAAGTCCTCTGCATCTTTTTCTGTTTACTGAAGAGTGTAAAAGCGTCATGTAAAAGCTCAATATTTCAAAAATATATTTGGATTCCATGAACTAACACCACGGAAAATAAAAAAAAAACTGCAATGGAGAGACTACTGACACTATAAAAGGTAAAGGTTTTCCCTTGACATTAAGTCTAGTCGTGTCGGACTCTGAGGGGTGGTGCTCATATCCATTTCTAAGCCAAAGAGCCGGCATTGTCTGTAGACGCCTTCAAGGTCATGTGGCCGGCATGACTGCATGGAGTGCTGTTACCTTCCCGCTGGAGTGGTACCTATCGATCTATTCATATTTGCATGTTTTTGAACTGCTAGGTTGGCAGAAACTGGGGTTAGGAGCGGGAGCTCACCCCCTCCCAGATTTGAACCGCCAACCTTTTGGTCAGCAAGTTCAGCAGCTCAGCAGTTTAACCCGCTGCACCATCGGGCGCTCAATGGTACCATGAAATCGTTTTACTTACGATATGTTTTTGAGGATTTTAGTTCAGGCAGCTTATGGCATACTTTTGCACTATAAATAGCCACAAAATTGGTCTCTGCAATTATTTGCTACAAAAGACCTAATAAAGCTATCCTACTCCAACAAAGTTACCCAAGAGAGTAAGTATGCAACCTTATGACTAAGCTCTCAAAGTAAAAGAAAAGAAAAAAAGAACACAACGTTGGCCAATTAAAAATGCTGGATGAGCCCCAGTACTAACATCAACTGGAATATAGATGGGCCAACTCAAGAATCTACATAATGTTCCTGAAGACCTAGATGAAAACCAACAGACAGAGACCTCACAACTCCTCACTGATGATGAAAGGAAGCAGGAAAGCAAATTTGCTTCCATTTCCAGACCTTTTGCTTCTAATAAAAATCCACAGCCAATGCCATCTAATAACCCCAGTCAAATTCTTTAGAATTTCCAAAATCTGCTGACTTCAGGGCACACTAGATGTTTGTTTGAGGAGATGAGCTTAACAATATCAAGAGTATAATTTCTTCCCCCACAAAATACATTCAGCCTCTATGCTAAATAACCATCAAGCAACCTCCCAGATGCTCTATGAACCTGGATCAAGGGTAAAGAGAAATATACCTCGACTTCTATGTGACCCTTCCTTCGCCCTTCGGTACTGGTTCAGTTCCTTTGCAAAATCATCATACTCTTCTTTTCCCAGGTCATCATCATCACCCTCATAGTCACAATACCCTTCGTTATCATAATCGTCATACATGGGGTAATTCTTGCTCTCCATTTTAGAATACCCCTTTTTGGGGCCACCGTGAGACGATGAGTATGGCTGGTGGGGCTGTAGGCAAACAAACATATGGTTTAAAATGAATGCATGAATGATTTTGGATGCATGAAGAGAAATGAGTCTCTAGGGTGCAAATGGTCCCCCCTCCACATCCTGTTAAACAGGCCTGCACCACCGCAACCCTCCAGCTGTTTTTGACTTCAGCTCCCAGAATTCCTGAACACTGAACATGCTGGTTAGGCCTTTTGAGAGTTGAAGGCCCCAAAAGAGGTTGTGCAGGCCTGCTGTTGTGCAGGTTATATCCACCCCATAACCATTCTTACAATAGAATCAAAATTGGGCACAGTCCACTGATACCTAATTAGCTTTGAAGCAGAAACCCAAATAATACAGCCTCTGCTGTCTCCCTTTATTCTTCTACCACTATTCATCAAACAAAACTTCAGTTCTTACCAGACAGGATTTCAGCCTAGCTATGGGAAGGGATACCCTCCAAAAGCAGAATGGTGCCTGATATCAAACTCAATTCCCTTTGAATAGCCAACATACTTGTGAAACCAAATTCTTACCGGGGGGTAGACAGGACTGTATTCTCTATATTTCCTGTGGACTTTTTCACTTGGGCTAAAGTCAGAGTCATCACTATAGTCTGAGAAGTCATCACTGGAGGAAGCATGGCGCTGCAAAAAAAGCCGAAGCTGTTATTGATTATCAAAAGCCCCCACCCTGGACATCATACGACTTTATTTAACCAATTTCTGGCCATTGACTTGAAAAGTGTCTTAGCTCCTATAAATTTGTTTATTTATTTACCACATTTATATCTCACCCTTCTCACCCCAAAGAGAACTCAGGGCCGCTTACATAATTCGCATTATTCCATGCCCGAACAGCAAGAACAATTAAAAGCAATTAAACAACCTAAAACACCATTGTTTGTTGTGTGCTACAGTCACACAAGGTGGAGGATTCCGTTAAGTGAACTGGGCAGATTGTTTGTTGGTCTTCTACCATGTGGGCCTGGGAACAATCTGTGTATGTCATTTTTGCAGGGCAGGGTTTTTTTCATTTGAGAGAAGAGGGATGTATGTGTTTGTGTATAAGAGAGATGAAGAGGAAAAGGAGCAGTGAGCATGCTGGGTCTGTAATTGCTACTAAATGGAGAGGCATGGGAGTTCTGGCGGTTGCTTGTAAGTGTTTGTTGCTTTCTGGCACCCCATTGTTCCTTTCTGGGAGCCTGCCAGGATGGAGTTGACCTGAATCTCTCTTCCCTCCAAGCTCAGAACTGAAGACTGCACTTTAAGAGGCTTAAGGCAGGAAGACAACCTGTGCTGGGCACTTCCTGTGTTTTGCCAAACGTTTGCCCCAGAACTGAGCAAGCACGAAAGGGAGGCTGAAAAGGCAGCTAGCAGAACCTGATATTCTTCAGCCTCAGTCACCTTGTGCTTGGATTTCCGTTTCTTTTTTGATCTTCGCTTCTCTTTCTCCCGCTCTTTCCGTCGTTTCCTTTTTCTCCGGTGACTCTTCTCTTCATCTGAGTCACTGTGATGCTTCTCTGTTTTTTCCTTCCGATTCTTTTCATGTGACTCTGAAGCCTCGTTCGGCTCCTCACCTCCATCATCTTCCAGTTCCCCTTCTTCCAGCTCCCCATCCTCCCTGAAAAGATACCAAACCATGATCACTTGGTTGTAGAGAGCAAAAGAGACCTGTCAGCTCAGATAAATTTTAAAGTGAAAAACTATAGCAAATATTAATTAGGCTACCCAATGTCACAGACTGAGCAGTTCACCAGAAAACCCTCAGAGCAGACCTACTCCCCAAAACAGCTTTCTCACACTTGAGCCTGGTGGTCATACAATAACAGAAATATAGTTCTAGACTGGGAGTTAGTAATGTTTTATTATGGCTAGGACTGATGGGTGCTGTAATTCAACAACATCAGATGGGTTGCTCTAGCTCCAAGAATCTGAAAGGGGACACAAACATGCATGTAATATCCCAAAAATCCAACCACTGCAATTAAAAATACTCTCTCTGCTTGGCTAGTGCAACTGACAAAATACATCAGGACTTGTGGACTTCCAATTCTATACCCAAATCTTCTAGAGGAATTAGATCAAAAAATGGTGGCACAACGAATACAGGATATAGAAGCTCAGAAAGACATTGCCACCCGTAGTAAAGCCAGCTCACTGAAATGGTTAAGTCGCTTTAAACATACTTTTCAAACAGCCGAATACCTAAACATCTAAGGAGGGTATTCACTAGAACCCGATTCGAACAGACAGATACAATGGTTAAACACGGAAGGTTTAACCAAGTTCCATATAATGAGCGTTTCTGTATCTGTGGGGCGACAGAGGTAGAGGATATTACCCATGTAATGTTTAATTGTATTTTGTACAACAAAGAGAGAAATCAATACCTCGGACCATTCATCATACAGAAGACTCACTGGGATCCCCATATCAAAACTACATTCTTCATGGCTGGCCAGAATGCTAAGATAACACACCAAACAGCCCTTTTCCTTCATAACACACCAAACAGCCCTTTTCCTTCCTTTGGAATGCCCTCCCCATAGAGGTGAGATCAGCCCCTTCGCTGATGGTATTTCGAAAAAGGTTGAAGACATGGATGTTTAAACAAGCATTCGATTAATCTGGTGCAACGAAACTGATGAACAAGGATTGGTTAATTACAGACGACGAAATTGGATTGCGACTACAATTAAGAGATGCATTGGATTATTATTGGTGGCCCAATAATATTGTGTATTGTGTATGTGTTTTTATGCTTTTTAATGGAATATTGCTGCTTGTCGTTGTGTTGTAAACCGCGTTGAGTCGCCGATTCAGGCTGAGAAACGGCGGTATATAAGCACAGTAATAAATAAATAAATAAAGCAACACAGCTGAGAACTGCATATCTAGAGGCGACTGGGGTAAACTGTAGGGGTGACGCAGATATCTGAAGTGGCTTGGGATTGTGTAATAGCTGGTCTATTTTAACCTTCATTTTAACCTTCGTTTTTAATTTTTGTGGTATGAAATTTTATCTTGACATTTTAATGATAATATTTTTAGTCATCTTTTAACCTAATGTGTGTTGGTTCGCTGTTGTGGGGGTCTTGGGATGGTGATTGTTGTCTGTTTGTGCATGTGTCTGTTTTTGTTTTTAATGTTGATGTGGTCAATAGACTATTCAATAAACTTTGCTTGCTTGCAATACTCTCTCTGCAAGATGAAATAAAAGCAGGAAGCTACCTTGGCCATTTGTTATTCAAACAGAAACTGGAATTTCCCTTTGTCATGAACCTGCTGTTATCACTGAAAAGGCAATTTTAAAGGGGACCTTCCAAGAGCACACAGAAAAGTAGCACCAAGAAGGAACCTTTCCTTTACTCTCAAGCTAAAAAAAATCCATGTTTTTTAAACATGAAAATCCTAAAATTATCCAGCACTTTGATCTCCAGTCCAAAGCCAAAATGCCATTCAATAAAAGCACCACTCTCTCTTACTGAAAATAAATTGCTACCTAGTACAGGAACTAGGAGAATAAAATACTGGAAAACAAATGCAGGTGGCCCTTTAGGTGAGCTATAACTTATATCCAGTTGCGACTAAGGCATAACAACCACAGCCTCTCTCTCACGGGAGACAAACATCAGTAGATTACTAGATGATTGTATTGTTTTTTGAACATTACATGGGATTGCATTTGCTTGACTCCTTGATTAGGAACATAGGTGTATTCTGTTTCTCACTCTGAGGTGGCAAAATGGATCAGAAAGTACACACTGTCCCTTTTTTATTGCCTGGTGTTCTTATGTAGCCAACAAAAGTGACAAGTACTTAATGGGAAAAGACCAAAAGGTGCCTGATAACATCTGAGCACTGTTTAGCACACTGTTGATCTTCGATTGTAGCAGAAGCACTGTAGACACTAGGCAAGCATGTTGATTTCATCTATCTGAAAGCAAAACTAGTAAGCTGATCTCCTTAAGGTCACTTGTAGTTCTATTAGTTGTCATAATAACAGCCTTTAAATCTATGGTGCACTGAACGTATGGTAAAGAACTAAGAAAAGAAATTCCCTTCATATTGGCTACTAATATATTGGTGGATGTCTACTCACTCCTGCCATACAATATAGCCACATTGCCTTTCTAAGATATTAGTGATAGAAGAATATTCAATAAAAGGGATACAATTGCCTCTTTCTATGTAATCCGACTCAGACATAAACCCCACTGAGCTCAATAGAACTTACTTCTAAGCAATGAACACAAGAGTATTGCTTTGGCTATTCACAGCTGGACAAAAAAAAAGCCCCTGATGGTTTCAGCCAGGGGCCCTCAAACTTTTTAAACAGAGGGCCAGGTCAGATCCCTCAAACTGTTGGGGGGCCAGATTATAATTTGAAAAAAAAAACATGAATGAATTCCTGTGCACACTGCACATATCTTATTTGTAGTGCAAAAAACACTTAAAAACAATACAATAATTAAAATTAAGAACAATTTTAACAAATATAAACTTATTCGTATTTCAATGGGAGGTGTGGGCCTGCTTTTGGCTGATGAGATAGGATTGTTGTTGTTGTTGTTGTGTTTTCAAGACATTACAGACTGAGATTGACCCTGAGCGAGGGCCTTGGAGGGCTCCATCTGGCCCCTGGGCCTTAGTTTGAGGACCCCTGGTTTCAGCTATGGTTTGATTTGTACAAGAACATATAAAGATGATTTGACTTGGAATATATTTTTGTATCATTTTTGAATAGTGGTTATGATTCAAGCTTATACATGAGCTTGGTATAGAGAAAAATCTAGACACATTTAGAGTAGATGAAATTAAACTCATTGAAATCAGTGGGATTTCAGAGTTTATAAGAAAATTAAGTCCCAGATTTTAACGGACTGATTCCAAATCTGAATTTTAAACCAGTGTCTTCAAAGTTATATTCTGAACAGCTCATAGTAAATGCATTGTATTTTATACAAGTTTCAAGATAATCTGTGAAGTGCTTTTCAGCCAGATTACACAAACCATGTAATTTATTAATGTCGTAAATAAATAAATAAATTTAATCAATGTCATTCAAAAATACTTAACAAGTCCTAATTCAAGACACAAAACTAACAGCTCAGGATTGCTGTACATTTGCTTTTAACAGAAACAATGTTTATGCCAGAAATGTAGCTCATAACAATATAAATTGATGAAATAATAAAATTTCAGTCTATTTTGCCACAATTAGTAGACTGTGTATATGTGTGTGTCTAGGGGTGGGGTTGTGGTTTCATTAGCTCCATGTCAGAAGTTACCAGGCACTTTATATTATTAAAAAATATTGTCAAGTGACTATGAAATGTTCATTTAAGTAAGAACCACCACTATCTTCCTATCCTAGACTTATGCTGTGTGCTTATAAATTGAGACCAACGTATCAAGATCTTCATTTTTCAATCTGGCTTCCAGTGTTTAAAATGGGCATTTGAGAAAGGCATCTAGTTTCATACAATACAGAGTGGCTGGAGGAACACAGACACTCACACCTGCCTGCATCTATTCCAGAATGCTTGCAGAAAGCCACTACAAAGAGTTCTGTATATTTAAAGCCAAGATTTGGCTTCATGGTTATTACTGACAGAATTGGTTCTGGTATGTGGGCAGCAAGAGAATCAAATGTGGTTTGCATTGTTTCTCTCTATATAATTTTTTTCTGCCTTATAATAAATACCAGATGCTGCACTGAACATTTCATGTACTAGAAATATTGTGGAGGACATCAGATGTGTTCTTATTGCTCAGTAAATGTTTTTTCATCACAACTTTCTTCATAAAGCCTATCAAAACACTCCTAAAAACTTGCATATAATTCCATTTTTTCTACCATCTGACTATAGGCACTTGCTTTTCTATTACTCAAGGGATTATTATTAACTGTGACATGCCTCTACTTTCAAAGGCATTGTGCTATCTTGGACGGGGAATGAACAAAACTTACTAGCAATCTCCAGAACTATTTGCTACACTTCCACAAATGGGTAAGTATACAACTGCTGTTCCTAAGAACTAAACAGAATCAAATCTGGCAACGCAATGCCAGAAAATAGCACAATCAGCTCTACTTGTTCAACTTCTGAAAAAACCAAAACTAAGAGAGCACTAAACACAACAATTTCCAGCAAAAGGGGGATTTGGAGAAATATAAATATGTTTTCAGCAAAGATGAAGTCATGATTTTGAGGGCTCTTATCGCTGTTAGCCAGTCCCATTCACCTAAATATTTCCCTTGGACATGAACACAAGATACTTAATTTGGGAATATGAGATGCTTTAAAGGATTGAACTTTGAAAGACCTACAGGCTTATAATACCAATTTATGCTTGCTTAGTCAGAGATAAGTCCTACTGTGTTCATACTGGGGCTTTCTCCCTAGTAAGCGTGTTTAGAATTGCAGCCAGATTATGCTAGCATTCAATGTGGTCCAAACAAAAATATTAAAGTGATCAAAAACTTAGTGGCTCAAAGCTGTGTGAAAAGCAATCCAACAACTCTAATTATTATTACTGAAAGTTACAGGGCTCTGTTGACTTCAGTATAGAGCTTGCCATACATGTTCACTCTGGTTATAGAGCAAAGTAGCGAGG